ATTTGAAGGAATGTCTTTCTTATATTTTGTACCGTGGGGTGTGTGATACACTTACCTCCACGTGGTGCACCCTGGGCAAAGTATACTCATGCGGCAAAAAAGTCTATTAACCGGCAGTTGACTTCTCACTTCAAACCACCATCACCCCTCTGTATGCCATATTCGACTACTTCCACAGTACTCACCTCACCTTTTTTATACCTTTGTGTCTGTCTCTTTTACATCTTTGAATCACTCTTCTGTCTCCCCTCTCTCCAGACTTTTTTCCACTTTGATGTTCCCTCCCCTCTGTGAAGCCTGAAGTCAACTAAAGGGCTAATGATAACTATCAAAATGCCTGCCATTTGATATAAAATAAATATTTTGTACCGTTCTGACATATTTACGTTTGTAACTTCTTGTCGTGTGATATCAGGAGAGGATACTAGGTATTGGCAGGGTCGCCAATACTAAGATCCCAATAGTTAAACCTGGGGTGGTTAAATCCACTATCATCCAGCGAAGCGTACTTTCAAACTCTAATCCATTCGAAGTTAGTAGACGAGAAAGTCATTTCACATTTCTTAATGGATCAGTATAGAAGGCAACGTTTTTTATGCATCTGTCCTACACAATTCTAGGAATTTCAAACTAATGGGATGTTTCAAGGCTATACTCTGTATCGCGAATTTAAGATAAATTCAGAGGCCGTTAAAACCCTTGCAATTATCATGAGTCAATCTTCTCTATACTTACCAGGTCCCACTACAAGACAATCGTAAATGAAATAACTTTTGATATGTAATGGAATGTGCCATATACTACTGATGTGTGCATCGGCTTACATATTTATAGTGTTGTAATTTAATTTAGAACGTACCTACTTCTTTCAGCTGCCATATTGGTACAAAACGGTACAAATGTGACTAGGGGGTAGTGAATCGAGGGGAATGGAACTAGGTTAGTTAGGTATTCTGCAAAAGATCCGTTGAGATTACATCTAAATCGCATAGTAGCCGTCATTCCTGCAACAATTGGAGCAATGACTCGATTTATAGTTGTATATGTCGGCCTGATAACCTGCAACTCCTTAGTACAAATATCAAATAGAGCTGCATTGTCCAATAGTATATTGAGGTCACAGAAGTCGGCTGAGTGATTAAGATAATGAACACAGTTGTAGATCTCTATCGGCCCAACAGCCATCTTATGAGATGGAACAATACTGAACTGTACCATGCGTTCACCTGCAAATTCAATGGATGCTCGCTCGTGGAACAAGGATAGCAGACCGCTACCTGTACCGCCACCCAAAGCGGAAAAGGTCATGATACCATCGAAGTTGTCACATTTCTCCGTTAGTTTTCGAATGGAGTTTGTTAGACTTCCAACCATCTTACCTCCTAGAGTGTAGTAGCCTCGGGCAAAGTTACCCGACGCATCCTCCATATATGAATGAAGACAGTCAGGATCGAAGAGCTCGCGGTAAATTCCCTGTCGCACTTCATCTGAGACATTATTATAAAACAATAAATTAATACAATTTTTCGATATATACTAATAAATAATTAAAATTCAATCCTTTTAAATCATTGCTAGGTAAATATCAGTTTCTAAGTAAAGAACTAATTTTATCTCCCTTTCCATAGAAAACTTGTATATTTATACTAAAAGTGATTTTTTTAATTTTATTGTATTCTTTTTCGATTTATTTTCAGGAAAATGATTCTACATACCAAGCACCGATGGTTCAAGGTCGGCAATAACAGTACGTGGGACATATCTTTCCTGATCGGGGACCTCTTCGAAAACGGAGCCAAGTTCACTGTGCTCCTGTAAAGTGGGTTCGTAGTCAATGAAACCACGTCGGGAGACGCCATGTTCCAAGCAAAGTAACTCCCATACAGCACTAGCCATTTGGACGCCAGCTTGGCCGGTAAAAAGTGTACATATTTGCCTCATTTTTTTTGAAAAATTTTCTGATTTTACTTTGGAATTTCACTAGAAATGGAGAAGGATATTACAGATTCGAAAAGCCCCTCAGTGAGTAACGTGGTGCTATCGATTGGTTCCATCTTGTTGGAACGTGATTCACACTTGGCACGTTAAATTTAAAAATTAATAGGACCACGCGTTTCAGATAGAATCTTTGAAAGATTTTGATTCGACCAGTTATTTTTGTAAATCGATGGCAAAGTGGCAGGTTGCCTGCTTGGGGCATCATTGAATAATGATTCTTTGTAAATGTGACTGCAATAAATCCACCCAAATGCTTGCGATGTACCGAGAACAATATTTAAATCAACTGAACATGTCTTATCCAAAATCGCTTGGTGTTATATTGTGTAAATTACAACCTATTAGACAAATCAGGCAGAGACCATGATTTGCACACTAATCAAAGTGAGTTAAAATGCGGTTCGATAGTGAAAGCCTAAATGAGGCAAGTCTATCCAGGTGTTCGCCCATTTCGATTTTGATAGATTAACTTGCTGGAAACCAAATTCAGTGAGTCTGAAATCGCAATTCTTAGTTCGTATATGTTTTGAATATTTTATTGTATCAAAATGTCTTCAGTTTGTTTATTTAATTGAATGAGAGAAAAACGAAATGTTGCTCACTTTCAGCTTTGAGTGATCCGGTAAAACCATAGTAGCATGCGGATTCGTATTTATTCCATGGAAAAATTAGTGAAATGAGTTAGAAACGAATAATATGCAATTTGTCTTAACTTCAGTACTCTTTCAAATTTCTATATAAAAGTTCTTTTCTCGGAGAAATGCATTCGTTCCTGTAAAGCATAATGTGCTTTATACTGTCTCTTCGATTGTCATTTCGCCGCCCACAGTAAATTAAGAATATTCAAAAAAGACCGAAATACATGCAATTCGTCTAATTATCCATATCTGACAGGAAATTCTAGTAATTTAATCTCCCACTTATGTCTTAAAATATTATAGTAGGCACGAATTTCGTTAAAAGATACATCGATTTTAACCCTGCTAACAGACATCGACTAATGCCAATCCCGTTAAGACTCTATGCTTACTGAGTTAGTAATCGGAGCAGAGGTTGCTCGACGAAATAAGTGCTGCATTGATTTTCTATGTTGAATAACAGAAAAAGTTCAGCTCAAATATGATCTACAATATTAAAACACATAAAAAATCCATTACAAATTCATTAAATATGCACTTAAATAATAGTATGTGTTTAAAAAGCGCCAATAATTGTTCGTATTTTATTTGCTTAAAGCTAAGCTTTGAATTTATTTTGTCGAACATATGATATTTAAATTCGGATGCGCTTTGCAATAAAATTTCTATAGAAAAACCTTTGAGTTTAATCGTGAGATCCCAATACAAAATGGTTCAAAATTTCTTTTTTTGCAATACTTCATTTACCGTTGGAACATTGTTGGTATTTAAGCTGCTCATTTCATGGCCTTTAAAGCGTTTTGAGCTGGCCACGTAATACAAATTTCAGATTAGTCCGTTTAACGTCTTGTTGGACAATGTTCTAGTATTTTGTGCACATTTTGTTTTTTATTAATAATTAGCCGCTACACGCCCTTTGAAACCACAGCTCAATTTTTATGCTTCATTAATCTTTTTGGTAATGCGGTAGCTGTGGAATATTCTAAAATTCCTTCGTCCTTTAATAACTTTCAATATAATTTTTAGATCGTATTTCGCAATGTCAGCAGACGTGACTAACATGGAGGTCTCCTCGTCTTCACAGGCTCGGTTGGATGCCCCATGGATTGAAAAGTATCGTCCTGTTGTTCTCTCCGATATTGTTGGTAACGAAGCGACAGTCCAAAGGCTCGAAGCCTTCTCACGCACCGGCAACGTACCTCACATAATCATTGCCGGTCCACCTGGCTGTGGAAAGACCACCTCTATTCTCTGTTTAGCTCGAGCTCTCCTTGGCGAGTCGTATAAGGACGCAGTTCTGGAACTTAATGCATCCAATGATCGTGGTATCGATGTTGTCAGGAATCGCATCAAGCTTTTTGCTCAGAAAAAAGTCACTCTTCCACCTGGCCGCCATAAATTTGTTATACTTGATGAAGCTGACAGGTATATTTCTCGAAATTGTTTATGTAGTCTATGAAAGCCCTTTGACGATATATCGCATAACCAAAGGTCTCTCCGAATTTTTATCAATATGCTTGCTAAGGACCACTTTTCTGTGTCTTATTTAAGCATGACTGACGGAGCTCAACAAGCATTACGTCGTACCATGGAGATCTACTCAAAGACCACTCGTTTCGCTCTGGCTTGTAATGACTCCTCCAAAGTCATCGAACCCATTCAGTCTCGTTGTGCTGTTTTGCGCTACGCCAAACTCACCTCTGTACAACTCATGGCGCGTCTTTTGCAGGTTGCTAAGGCGGAAGGCGTTGACTACACCGATGAAGGGCTAGAAGCTGTTGTTTTCACCGCTGAAGGCGATATGCGACAGGTTCGTTGGTATTACTTTTTACAATTTTTTCATTTTACTACTGAAATAGGAATATTACTATAATTATATCACATGGAGGGCCTTATGATACCTATCATTAGTCCCTTAGTTGACTTCGGGCTTCACAAGGGGGAGGAACATATTTGTAGGCTCTAGGATCGAAATATAATTCCGAAGTCCATTAAACTACTAACACTATTTGACTTAATATGAAAGTAAGTATACTAGAGACACTACGTTGGTTTACTAGTTATTGTGTCGCCCATATGCTCATGAACATCGATCTCATGACCTTTGACTTTTTTGACGTACTTTTCGGCCATGATGTTTAACATCCCTCTTGCATGGACACTATTATTTGCTTTATCTGTTAAAATATTATGTTTTAATGTGTCTAAGTTGAAATACTTTCCCTCTTAAATCGGAAATGCTTCTGTCATATTTTTTGACCTCTGATTTCTGCAATTATACGGCTATGCGGAAGATGATAATGGTGTTAAATGGAAGTTCAATGAGTGGTTTAGGTCTATTTTCGCTTAGATAGTAGCACAACTGGTGATGGAAGTTAGTATTTTGAGCATTTTATTAATCTTTTATGCTCTCGTCCGATTCGATGAGTAAAGTGGAGAATAGGACAACCTCATTCCCACTTCTCGAGTCCATCGTACCGTCCACTTTTGCAATAACTCAAATCAATATAATTTGTTTTCACTTTAGGCCCTGAATAATCTTCAGTCAACTCATCAAGGCTTTGGTATGGTTACCAGCGAAAATGTTTTCAAGGTAATGTCAACCATCGAATTTGTCAGATTTGACTTCTTTCAAGCTATTACTTCGAGACAATTACGTATATCTACGTATCACTTTTTGTGAAACTAATCAGTAGAGTTGAATTGTTATAGCCACCTTAATGTGTGTATTAGTTAACCCTCGCTTATGGCAGATATTCATGCTACTGCTTTTATGCAATTGCAGAGTTTAACTTTTTCTTTATCTTTGACTAGGTATGCGATGAACCCCACCCCCTATTAGTGCAGAACATGATTGACACGTGTCTAAAGAGTGAGTTCACTGCTGCTTACAATATTCTCAAACACCTTTGGCAGCTGGGCTACTCAGCAGAAGACATCTACTCGATGCTTTTCCGTATTGTCAAGAATCATCAAATGGATGAGTACTTGAAGTTGGAGTATATTAAGGAGGTCGGTCTCACACATTTACGGATTGCTGAGGGTCTAGGAACCCTTCTTCAACTTGCTGGTCTCCTAGCACGTCTTTGCAAGATTACCCAAGAAACTGCAAAGTGAGAAGTCGATTCGCGCAGTGTGTTGTTTGTCTTTTTTTGTAATAAAGCAGATTCTATTTTTAATACACACCACTGTTTGTTGAAAACGCATTTCAAGCTTGCTTGTACCGCTAGATGGAGATTTGTTGAGGCGTGCTAATTAGTACTTCCCACCCCTATTGAAGCGTCTCTGCTTGATTATTGGGCACAAGCACAGAGGAAGAAAATTAAGTGCTTAAATCTCTAGGAGAACTCTGGAAGTTACTTGTCCAAGTGCAAAGACGGCGATAGGCTATTATAGAAGGGAACGCTCAAATTGACTACCATGCAACGCTGGGACCACAAGAAATCGCAGACCCACACCCATATCTAGCAGACTCTAAAGACTATCCACAACTGTACTCAAAGAACAATGGTCTTATTTTTATTAACTCTTAGTAGAAAACAGAAATCAATCTACGTGTTATATATTTATAGAAAAATAAGACAAAATTGGAAAAAAAGGTGGGAGGGGAGGTTCAAGTTTTGGGATTATTGATTATGCCTCCAGATTTAAATTTGACCCCGACATGCACTGAATTACTGGGAGTGTTGATAATTACTCGATTCGCCTGATTATGACTACTGTTTCCAGGAAGATTAAGGGTTCTTTTCAGTCTGGGACGAATTGATGGAATGACGAATCCGAATCCTGATCGGTTCCTTGAAGTTATACCGTCTTCGGAAGTAAGAGGATTTAGAAGGCCCTTGCGCTTCGGATGACCAAGTCGAAGTCCTCTACGCCAGCCCTGTTTCCGCATTATCCTCTCCCCGTAGGGCTGAAAGTATATAAAAGTATTTTACATGATTGCAGATCTAACTCTTCAATTCTTGTGAGTTTTATTAAGGCCAAATTTGAGTAGGAAGTTTGTTATACCCATTTTTCGTAGTTTTAAGCGATTCCTGACATCCAAATATTAACTAACGAATAAGAAGCTGGATCGAGCAATTCTATGAAAAAATTTGCCCTTCGGGTTATAAGAAAATCCAGTTCTACTAGAAACTTCCACTGAGCAGGACTGGAGTTAGTCAGGAGCAGCATATCCTCGGGCCGCTCTTTTGAGAAAGTAACCTTCTATCGCTTTTCCGTTAGGTCAGAATTGGCCAAGTCAACTGGTCAACCACACAATCGGATGTTCACCGATAGGCATGACAGCTGACTAGTTAGGCATGTGCGTTGACCGACGTACACAAGCTAGTGTATTTAATAAAATGATAGAGATTGACCTTCCTTGAACAACTGGTCTTCGTTTGAGATGAAATGTGAGAGAAAATACCGGCCTGGGTAAAGAGCAGCCATCTTGTAGTCTCATGAACAAAAATGTCTTTCTCTTATTCGATTTATATTAGTATGGATAGTCACTAACCATTGAACGTGTACCGATGGATTTCTAACCGATCTCAAATGTGGACGGTGTATCTATCGAGTGCAGAAACACAAGTGTTAAAAAGCATTAGCAGCTGCTGTTTCCCAAATGCAGACTGAATCATGGTAGCTTAAAAACTTACTCGTGGTAAAGTACAAGCCCGTATCTTTATAGAATTATGAGATTCAAGGGTGTTCAACGCAATGGATAAGGGGAATTTCGTGAATGCAATGTTAAGAACAAAAGATTACGATTTAAAGGTGGGAAAGGAAAGTAAGATGTGGACTGTAGCATTTTCTCCTATGCACCTTAACCCGAAGGCTGTCTGATCTTTCGATGAGAAATTAAACGTAGAGAACAGGTTAGCACAGATCAAAGCTACACAAACTAGCTATTATTGCTTAAATTTATGCTCAAAATACCAATGACACTGTGGCCAACGTGTACACCTGACAAGATTAAGGTTGTGAAATCAGTGTTGGCGATCCTCGTTTACTTCTGATCAACAAGAGAAGTGACTGAATGCGATTTCTACGTAAGAGTGGATTTAGAAAAGCTTTGCTCGAGCACAATCGAATGATGTTAACACCCAGGACAAGAAAACTTAGAAAAGAATAACAAACAATTTGCCACTTAAGATTGGTAATTATTAGCAATCGGATTCAAAGATATTAGTGATAAACCATATTATAGAAAATTACAATGCTATCAACAACTCCTAAACTAGGTTAATACTGAGCGAAAATTGGAATTACCGGCTCCAAATATTCTAATCACTATACTTAACTATTTCTAAATTAGTTCAAGCATTCACACATAAATTAGGGAGAAATGAAATGACTTACCGATAAAGAAGGCTTCGATTTGTGTGCACCATCATCAGCCGAATCGGAGGAGAGCATGTCCTCAATCTGTTTCCTGTCCAAGTCCGGTCCACCAGGTCCAGCATAAGCCAGCCCCTCGTCATCGTCACTGTAATGCTGCATATTTACATCCCAATCAAACGAAGCCGGCTCATTGAAAAACTCATCTTTGCGTACACTTTCTCGTTCCCTCCAGAATTGTTCATCAGTGTAGAAGACAAGTCCAGAACCTCCTTTCTCCCATTTCAGCTCAATTTTATTCTCGTATTTTAGGGAATGATTAGTTGTTCGATCAACATTGTAGGGGTCATCATGAAGACTTTCAAATCTATCCCATTCTTCAGACACTTCGTCCTCTTGAACCGGATTTGAAAGAATGAGACCGCTTTTGGTTTTTATTTCACATGATTTGACCAAAATATCTGACTGATCATCATAAAACTGGCTGCCAGTAATATCGTAAGTATCGTGATCGTTGTATTCGTAAGGAACATTACCGTATTTTCGGTTAATTCTTGACAGGGGGAAGTTGAGTTTGAGATTTTTAATTAACGCTGGACTTAACTGACAAGATTTAATAAGAGAAAAAAAGTGAGACGTTGGGGTTCCAACATTTCCTCGAGGCAACCATGAAGGGGGATTAAACTCACAAAGCTCTACAAAGGATAAAACGTAATAAGAAAAAAATAAATAAAAATATTCGATCAGCTTACTCTTAAGTGAATGCAAATCTGAAGAATCATAAGTAACAGGAAAGAATTTGCAAATAGGATAATTTCCACACTGGTCGTCTGTACACCAAGTATCCTCGAATGACGACAAAAGCCACTCAACACGTTCAGGTTTGATAGATATAAGAGCGGTACAACTTAGAGCCTTTGTTGTACGATGCTGTTTTAAAATACAGAGGAGAGTTTTAACATCCAACCTGTTGCAGGAAAGAAGAGGTATTCGAGAAGAAACAGGACGATGTCGATAATGAAAGCAACCAAACAAACCGGCTTCAATGTGCTGTGAAAAAACTCGACGTAAATCAGCCGTTTTTAGTCGACTAGGTATATCAGTAATTAGAAATACGCTATATTCTGAAAGGTTCATCTTACAAAATACAAGATTTAAAGAATCTGTCCATGTACTAAAAGTTAAATCACTAACGATAAGATAAAACAGAAAGATTTAAAGGTAATATCAACTACACGATGAAACAAGGAAAACGACAAGTAGACGCAGTAAGTAGACCTAGGACGTTATTTCACTCGCAACAAAATCTAACCTTTAAAACAAATAATGTTACATAAATAAAATTATAACAGACCGCGTGTCATTGTTCTGGCGATTTTATGTATTGCATTATAAGGCACATTTTAATTTTTCAAAATTAAACTTTCTATTTCCCGTTCTTACATTTCATATTATAGTACAAAATGATTTCAATAATAAGCATTATTATAAAGACATTTAATATATTAAATTAAATTATCATTTTTCAATACTTAGCTTTAATTTATGATGCTTATTCAATCTTTGAGCTCAAAACAAAATGGTAGTGATCAAATGCCATTTACTGTAACCAAGCCTATTTGGTAAAAATGTTTTGCAATCTGTCTGGTCTATTGTAAACTACGTGTACATCTTATATTATGTAACTTAAAACACAGCGACTTTTAATTAATAATGTTATTTATGAAGACAGAATTATGGCGAGAATTGCACTTAGATTAAAATCAATTTTTTCTCACGTTTTGAACGCCCAATAAATATGTATAAATCGGAAGAAAGCAAATGACAAAATCGTTTTTTATAAAAATTTTAAAACGAGTGTAAGAAAAAATCTGTTATTCAGATATATTTCGGAAGAATGCGCCTGTATCAAATATAAAAATTCATAAATTATTATGTTTTAAACTCTTGCTGCAAAAATCCTTTTTACCGTATGACCTAATTTTCTCAATGTCGAATTTCTGTTGGTGGAGGTTTTGGTTCGGAGCTACTTTTGTCAATTGGATATTCAGCAATGCAATTCAGTCCTTATTCGCAAAACGGGGGGTATGTCTTGGAATCTTCACTAAAGTCGACTTAGTACTTCTCTTGGCATTTCAGGTAAAGATTACGCTATTGTCGCTTCGGACACCAGGTTAACCGATGAAAATATGGGCCTCCTGTTTTCCAGAAGTTCCCCTCATATTTACGAAGTGTAAGCCACATTCCTTCTAATTTTCTGCAGCGGTCCAAATATTAGGTTGTTGTTGACTGGGTTTCATGGCGATGTCTTGACCTTTGTTAAACTTATTGAAGCAAAAGTCAAAGAGTACCGATATCATCACAAAAAGGACATTACCGTCAAAGCACTTGCGAATTTGGTTTCAGTTTCCCTCTATTCTAGAAGATTTTTTCCATACTATGTTAGCACCATTTTGGCTGGGATTGATGAAAATGGCAAAGGTGCTATTTACGATTATGATCCAGTTGGTAATTACGATCGTGTTGTCTTTCGCGCTCTTGGAACCAGTGGCTCAATTCTTCAGCCATTCATGGATAGTCAGGTTCGGTTTTGATTTATTTGCCTTATAAATAACTACTAGATTAACGGCGAGGACCTTGTTGCTGACTGCGTTGAATTAGCAAAAGAGGATGCTATTCGTCTTGTTAGGGATGTTTTCATCAGTGCCGCAGAACGTGATATTTTTTGCGGCGATGCAGTTGTAATCGACGTTATCACAGCTGATGGTGTACAACGTACATCATTTCCCTTACGTCGTGATTAAATTTGTTAATTGTTTAATAAAATATTTTTAATTCATTTCGTTTTGAAACATAGATATGTTAAGCTAAGCTCTATATTCTAAAATGTGTATGTTATATATTTAGTGATCTAAATTTTCATCTAATTAATGACCAAGAAAGCGCGTATTTTTAGTTATTGTTTTTTAGCTCCAGAGCACGGAACTCTCCTGTTTTTTTAATATTATTTATGAAGTGTTGTTTTTTCTACTGAAATTGTTATATGTATTCCTGTGATATCCCCTATCCGTTCTAAGCAATATTTTGCTGGATTTTATTAGTCATTTCCTTATTGAAGAGAATGCTTGCCCCCATCAATAACGGAGTTAAGTAATAAACAGGCAGATGGGAGTACGTTGGTCACTATTTTAGTGGGAACTGTATCACTAAATTCCAGTGCTATTTATACACTGTGGCCAAGAGGGCATGGCTGCGTGGAGTTTTGCATGGAAGTTGGCGATGAGCACTTTCAACACTTGACGTGAGCTAGTGAGTGGTCAGTGTGTGGTGATTCATTATACTCTGATTTTATTGCTTCTTTTAAATCAATTTATAATATTGAGTTATCTTTCTCTATTCTTTGGAGACCTCATTTGTCTGGACCACCCTGTAAATTTACTGATTAAGTAATCGAGGTTAAAGAACTATTTTGTAGGGAACTTGTGATCGGGGTCTAATCGAAGGGAACTAGACATAGCCAATCACCATGGAGATAACCTCGCGTAATTTGATGGTTTCAGTGGGTTTCTTCAGTTCCATCATATATTCTTCCAACGAGTTAGCTTTAAGTAAGGAATCATCACAGTCCTCATATTTGCGAAGGTTAGGGTTATTTCGTCCTGAGATTTGGAGATGATTTGTGGATTTGATGATCGGGATTAAATAGAAGGTATCTGGACATAACCAATCACCACGAAGATAAGCTCGTTTACTTTAAAGGTTTCAGTTGGTATTTTCAATTCCGCCATCTTCTTCAACGAGTAAGCTACAAATTAGGAGGCATCGCAGTTCTCGGATTCGCAAAGGTAGACTTATTTCGTCCAATCAGAAACCTATAAACTACCAAGAATATTACTCCAGAGATTTGTAGTTAACTCGTGGATTGTGTTCAGTTAATCAATGTTTGCTCTTCGTAATCACCCGTTTGTGGATTTATTTATTTATTTCAAATGACGGGCATAATGACACTTATCATTTGCCCTTTAGCTGAC